AAAAAAAAAATTTTGAATTTACTTACTTGTAGCCGGAGTTAGAGGCGGTCGGATACTTATGACCGCTACTGTATTAGTTGTTGTTCCCAGTAATAATTTATTTAATGAAATAAACATATATATATAGAGCTAGTTTCGTATATTTGTTAATTTATGCGTAATGATGCAATGTCGTGAATATTAGTTTTAATAAAAAAAAAGACCCTTTGTATATGATCCAATATGAGTAGTGTTAAGAGTACGCTTTGATCGATACAAATGATGTTATCACAAATATTTATTTCAATTTTGATCCTTATCCACTACAAGTTCTATTTCTTTTTTTTACGAATCACATGGGTGGCTTAGCTAAGAATATATCATGTATGTCATCACTATACTTCTCCGCAGTAATATATATGTATTATGTCATGGTCAATGGATATTGGTTGGAAGTGTGAAGAGTCTTCACAATTATCATATGACATAGCATATATCATGGACTACGGTCATAGAATCGGCAAATTATTGAGCAATTATGATTTTCAGGACTTTTATTCTCAAAATTATTACGTATATTATTGTAAAAGGACCCCTTATGATTTTTACATATGGATAGCGTTAAATTCTTTTATTGTTAAATTAAGGAGTCCCGTTGATCAGATTTTCATGATGCGATCATATTAACGTAATTTACCTCAAAAGTGTATTCTAAAATCGATCCTGGAAATTATATAAAAAGGTGATGTCCCAGTTATTGAACCCTTTTATCCGCCTCGTGCAAGTAAGATAAAAATCGAACAAAACTAATTAACTCACCATTATTTACATCGTCAATATTATTAATCAAATGAACTCGTATATGCCACACAAGGTACGTTGGTTTTATTGCTTAGTTAGCTTCTAAAAGAACATCATCACGATGTTAATCAATTTTTCTGGCTCTATAGATGCTCAAAGTCAAAGCGGACATATTACCATTCCTGATCTTTATAACATATTTGATATTTGTCGGGAAAATCGTGATCGTCGCCACGTGCAGTTAAATACAGAAAAAAATCACATGACTGTAATTTCAGCCGGGGCCCCTACCAAAATCTTACTTATATTGGCGGGCAGTAATATATCAAGCGCAGAATCGTACTTGAGTTAAAAAAATCGAAATATCTTAACACATTAGGCAATGAATTTCTTAAATACGAGGCGGAGTGGATTGTTATAAAAATAAGTCGTAATGGTAAGAGTGATAATATTGCATTGCCTTCTTTTTACCTCAATTGCTAATCATCGATTTATATTTTAGTTTCGAAATTACGTTTTAGGGAATATTATTTTACATAGTCTGTGTGGATGATAATGGATATAGATAGACAAAAATTTCATAGATATAAGTGGGATAATTTATTTCGTGTAGTAAAAGAGTAAGGGATGTGAATCTTTTAGTTAGCGATAGAAATAAATTAACTATAGATATTTTTTGGATAATATAGTCAGATGTTTTATAAATAAGATATTTCACAATGACTCTAATTTTATAATCATAGATCAGCTAATATTAATAAGCTTCGGACTTACAAAACACGTTCTCATAATGATCAAGATTTAATAAAAGTTTATTTAGATTTAAGACGCGCTCATGTAGCTTAATAAAAATTAATTTCAAATCGCATATAAACCTCTTTCAAAAATCATTTTCATTTTCCAAACTAATAAATTTACAATAACTATGTCAACCATTTTCAAAATTATCGATAACCTTCTTCTTCCAAAAGAAGAAACGAATAAACTACAAACTTATCTTATTAAACATAAACAGGAGAGAGAGATATTACATTCTGCACTTATGAGTCCCTTAAAAACAGACGAAGATAAACTTGAGTTATTAAAAGAATTCTTGAAGACGTCTGTTGGTATGTGCTTAAATAAAATTATTGTGAATTGTGATGACTAACTATGCCTTTTTTTGGTCTTTTTGGTCCCCTAATCTCCTAACCTAATTTAGATGAATATAAAGGTAAGCCTTTGCGTCGTAATGATTGGTCAACTCGAATGTGACACGTCAACTGACCGTTTTTATTTTTAGTACGTACCGATGGTAAAGTGCGTGCTAAGGAAGAGAAAACTTTTCGTGTCCAATGTAACAACGACGAAGGCGAGCCATTGGACAAATTTGAAGAATTTACAATACGTGATGAAAATGATTTTTGCGAGTTTTTAAAGAGAGTGGATGCAAGAGGGTTGAAACATATCGATGATAATAATGAAGTACCGAAAGTCATCTCGACTTTTGAAGGCATTCAACCTAATCAACTTTATTGTATAAGTGCTGCGTATCTCATGGACATAAAGAAAGGCGTAACGTGGTCAAAAGTTGAAGACATGGTGGCGGAAATTGAAACAATATCAGCTTTAAAAAACAAGCTCAAAAAAACATTTAAGTCTCCTGTTGAGGTCTTTACTAACCGAATAATGCATGATGAAACAGATGATCCCATAATGGAATGGGATGGGATCTTATTATGTCGTGACAAAGTATTTTTATGCGAATGCAAATACAAAATAACAGAGGTAAATATAAAAATGATTAATTTGATGTAACTCTCATGAATCTGTTGAACAAGCTTACCGATCAATCCAACATTTTTAGGAAAAGATAAACGAAATTGTTGAACGATTAAAGGAATTCCCTGAGAAATTGGAGAAGACAAAAGATCCCGAATTCAAACAATTATCAGATAAAGAACTAGTTGGAGTCGCTTGTGGCTTGCTTTTTCCAGAAGCATTAAGACAAAAATCTGTGGAGCTTGGATTGGTAGTCGTATACCCAGATGGTGGTCGTTATTATGTAGGAATGCCCAAAAAATGGATGATGAGCTTGTGTAATTTCGTGTAGTATTGATCATGATGGGTTAATATAATGATAAGAGAAGTTACGTCTTTTTTTAAATATCATAATATATTACATTGTAGTAAACAGATTTGTACTTTACCGCATGTGCATTGCTCTATAAAATTTATTTTATTGGAGACCTAATCATATGATTTTCACAATCGTACATAGTTATTTTATTTAATAGTGCGTAATTTACTCACATCAGGCTTGCATTTTCATTACATAGTGTAAAATGTTTTATTTTTTTACAGTAGCATCAATATCAAAAAGTAGCCAGGGACATACAGTATATTGATCAATTTGCAAAGTATATACAGTATTTATTGCGCTATACAATGAACTCAGTTCGCAGAATATTGTATTTTTGCCGAAAGAATAGGGGTATTAATCGCATATATTCACATTTTTTTTCTTCCTGCCGAAGTGTTATTCCATTTCGAAGTCTTATCCATAAATATGAAATAGGACCACGGCATGCCGTAATGTGAAAAGTGCCAGTGAGAATACCAAGTTCTGGACATTAACGGTTCAGTTATATCCTTGACCATAGTCCAAGAGAAGATGTATTCCCACTTTTAGCAATCATTATTTTTATTGATTTGCAAGGGATTAACGTAATGACGAAATGCAGTGCGTAGTTGCTAGTGAAAATCTGGAGAATGCTTTCTCCTATGACATTCCCAGTAATATAAAAATGAGCAACGCGATGTTGAATAGTTACTGCGCCACAATAACGTAACTTCGCTGACCCGCGGATCAGAGAAATCAAAATGCGAAAAAATAAATAGTTCACTTTCCTTTCGGCTATTTTGTCTGCCGATGTATTAACCAGATGCGCTTTACATATGCTTATCAAATAAAGTTTTTCCTTATCGGGTTTTTCTCCTTTTTTTAATCTATGTACTGTATGCTACATGTGAAATGATGTATAATTTGCATGATAGTCTATAATTTTTTTACAGGGCCGATCATCTCGTGATTTATAGAAACTTGCCAGCTCCTGAAACTCTTCTAGAACTATCAAGGAAACTAGGGAGATCACATATGATACAAATTTTAGCCAAAGGCACTGTGCATAGTTTAACCGATTGGGTCTAATTTAGCCGAATCAAAAAAAATATGAATCTGTTTTTCATCCAAACAATTGAATAAAAATGAATGTGATATTTTATTATAATATACTTGCTATAAATTGCTATAAGTCTTTAAAATTGCTAAAAACGCTATAAATCACTAAACAGCTATAAATCACTAAGATCAGTTATAAACTATAAAAATGGTTAAAACTAACTATTCTAGTTCAAATCCTATAGTAGTGCAGGCGTTAAACAATCTGCAATATAGGTATAGTGATAAAATGCCAGAAATGTGGTATTTTCGTATTCATTATCCATTTAAGAAACTTCTTGAATATAACCCAAAATACTTCTCTAAGAATGGATTTATTCAAATGATTGAA